TCTACAGCACCTCTTGATTTTGTTCATATTGAAGGTTCCCCAAAGTGATCACTATAATTGTAAAGTATCCTTGATAAAACCGTGCCATCTAGAAAGATAAGTTCACAAATCTGGGTTGTAGAGTAAATGTCTACAAGCAGCAAGAACCTGGCTGCCAGGGGAACAGACTTGAGGCTGAGCAAACCCATAGTTTTGAGAATAGTCAGTCCAAAGAGTTGCTTGTGTACCCATGTCCCCAAACCTAATGCCTGGGCCTTCCAGCTACAAACCCCAACCAGCTTTGTGGCTCCAGAGGACAGAAAAAACATGGAGAGATGTCTCCCAGAGCCAGATTTTCATGGACAAAGTAAGAGAAGACTGAGGAAAGTTCTCATAGGGTTTTTAGTAATCACCCAAAACTGGAAACACTCAGATATCCTTTAGTGGGTGAATGGATAAAATGTGGCATATCCATACTTTTACCATTGTTTGGAGTACTACTCAGCAACCAAAAAGGGCAATTAATGTATGTAACAACTTGTATAGAACCCCAAGGCATTATGCTGAGGTGGGGGAAAAGCCAATCTCAAATGGTTACCATGTAATTCCATTTATATAGCATTTTTAAAATTACAAAACTATAGTGATGGCAAACAGATCTGAGGTTTCCAGGGGTTAGAGCTGGGGATGAGGCATGGTTATAGAGGGCCCACACAAGGGAGTTTCCTTGAGGTTATAGAATAGTTCTGTGTCCTAGTAGGGTGGTGATTACATGAATCTATACATGTGATAAAATTTCATAGACTGTACACCAAAAAAGAAAGAATGAAAGAAAGAGAAAAAGTGCATGTAAAACTGATTAAATCCAAATTTGATGTCTATAGCTTAGTTAATAATGTACCAATGTCAACTTACTGGCCTTCACAGTTGTTATGTAAGATGTTACTAGGGAAGTTGGATGAGGGTGCATGGGAATTATTTGTCCTATTTTGCAATTGTGAGTCTAAAATTATTTCAAAATAAAGAGTTTCCAAAAATTTGGAGGGCACTGATTTCTGCAAGCAGCACTTGGGAATCTCTTCAATTTTTGCTAGAAAAAGGAATATAAAATAAAGCCTCAAGAATTACAAATTTAATGCAGTTTCTAATTACTGTAATTTCATTTGCTGTCATTTTGATTTGGAAATTATACTCAGTTTTTTTAACCATGATATTGTTACAGATATTTTTGTATTGTTACAAATATATTGTATAAAGGGGAACAAAATTCCCTTGAGTTTCCCCCAGGATGCAATACACCCTAAGCTCTCTGCAGAGCTCCTGATGTGTAGCTCCTGTCTACCTTTCTAACCTCACCTCCTCGTGCTCCCAACATGCATTCTGGGGTGAACTATGTGTAATCCTTGCCCCTGTCTCTCCTCTTAACTCTTTGCTTGATGACTTTCTCTTTCAAGACCCACATCAAACTCTACTTCCTCTACAAAGGCTTTCCTGACTCAGTAAGCAGGATTGCTCCCACAGCATGCCCTTCCTGCCTGTGGGGTTGTAGCAGAAAGTGGAGCCCTTCGGTTATTTGTTCACTGGCCTACCTCCCACCCTAACCTTGAGGGCCCAGACTGACTCCCATTCCTTTCTATAGGCCCTGTGCCTGGCTCAATGCCTGTAATACACACTAATTTATTAGTAATGTACTAATTTATTAGTAACAAATTTTGTGCATCCTACCCTGCCTTAATAGACTTCTCAACAAGATTTTCAATCAAACTGAGGATCAAAAGGAGTTCTGTTCTGAACAACTACAGTTAAACAGGACAGTAAATGAATACTTAAAATATATTCCAAACATTCAAATTAGTTAAGACTTTATTATAAGTTTCCCCCATGCTTTCTTTTCATTCATGACATAGGGTTGTCATAAACTTTAGAAAGACCACGAGGTTGCACTTGTGAGCCTCCGTGGACAGATAAAGTCTAGAACTTAAGAACAGGATACGGATTCTGAAGGAGGATGTGTGCAACATCAAGATGAAAGCACAAGCCTGCATGAAACCTGTGTATTGCTTTCAGCTTTTACTAAGAGTATCACGGTGTCCCCGCCTCGCAGGCAAGTCGCATGCTACATCACCTGTGATATGGCAGCAGACATAAATGGCCTGGATGACAAACTCCTGACTTCCCCACTCAGCAGCCTTCTGGGCAAATGATCTGGAACTCTGTAACTGTCATTGGGTCTCTCTTCTCTCCACCCTGCAGCACGATGACTCAGATGTTCATCATTTCTTCTTGCACAATCTAACGACCATTTCTCTATCAGAGGTCTGGTAACTTCATTAAACAGGGCCGATGATCTCCTTGAAACCGGTCCCTCCCTTGGCTTGGACACATCACCTACCTCTCCTACCTTCTCTCTTGATCACATTCTCTAACATTCCTGTAAGATTGAATCACTGGTCTTATGCCCATTTTAAAAAATAAGAGTAATAACAAACCTCATTTCTGTGTTTCCACTTTCCCATTTTCTCTTCACTGCTTTCTGATATATTGTCATCTTTAAAGGCCCAAGTTAGGTGCCACCTTCCCCCAGCAATCATCTAACTGAGCCCACACTGATTCTTTGTGCTCTCTTGGAGCACGTAAAAGCCAAATGTACTTTCACTGTGTAGCACTTCCTCTGTTCTGGTTTGTGGGATCCCTTATTGTTTTATAAATTACTCTTATTCCTTCAAATAAAGGCTCCTTAAGGACAAGACCCATGTCTTAAAATGATCCTGTGTCCTCAGGGTGCTTCACAAAGTGTTTAGCACCTTGTGTCAGTGGTCAGTAAATAGTTGGTGCTCTAGATTAAGACAATGTTGCAGTAGCTTGGAAAAAAGAAACATAAAGAAGAACACCTTTGGGGCACCTGGGTAGCTCAGTCAGTTAAGCATCCGACTTCGGCTCAGGTTCCGATCTCACAGTTCATGGGTTCGAGCCCTGCGTCAGGCTCTGTGCTGACAGCTAGCTCAGAGCCTGGAGCCTGTTTCAGATTCTGTGTCTCCCTCTCTCTGACCCTCCCCTGCTCATGCTGTCTCTCTCTGAGAAATAAATAAAAAACATTAAAAAAGAAGAAGAACACCTTTGAAATTTATGTTCTCTTTTCCTAATGCTCAAGGGCCTAAGTCAGAGCAAGTCATCACGCACTGGGGCTGTATAAGATCAAACAGCGCTTCTTGCCACAGCGTAGTGGTAAAGTAAGAGCATAGCCTGTAGGTTCAAACGGAATGGGTTCATGCTCTAGACTTGCCAGTGGTTGAGCTTGAGGGTGAGCAAGTCACTTGAACCCAGAGCCTTCATTTCCTCATATTCAAAATTGAATAATAAGCCTTTTCAGAGATGAAGGCTTTCATCCATAAGAGTGTCATTTGTGGTGGGAACTTCAGGACCCATGGTAGAGCAGGGCAGAAGCTGTTTGAAAATAGGCAGCCCTTGGGGCGCTTGGGCATCTCAGTAGGTTAAGCGTTCGACTTCTGGCTCAGGTCATGATCTCACAGTTCATGGGTTCAAGCTCCGCATCAGGCTCTGTGCTGACAGCTCGGAGCCTGGAGCCTACTTCAGATTCTATGCCACCCTCTCTCTCTCTCCCCTTCCCCAGTCATGTTCTGTCTCTGTCTCTGTCTCTATCTTTCTCTCTCTCTCTCAAAAATAAATGTTTAAAATTAAAAAAAAAAAAAGAAGAAGAAGAAAGCAGCCCTTACTGTACCCCGTCCAGTGCACACCCCCACTGAGGGGGGCCCGCTGTCTCCTGCGGGACAGGAAGCTAGAGTCTCAGGGACCTGAAGAATGACAGTCTGCACGGGAAGACAGAAAACCAACCACTGAAGCTTGTCAAGTTCTAGACATCACCAGGGTAGACTCTCTGGTGGAAGGGCTAGCAGATTAAATGAGCAGCCTGTCAAAAAGGCAAGGGAATAAAGCTGGAGGATTCTGAGAGGGATTGGCTGTGGGGCAGAAAGAGATACGGGGGCAGAGAGGGGCTGAGCTTGGGACTGAGGGTAAGTAGGCTAAACAACCATCAGATCCACTTGTTGCAGAGGTAGGGAGAACAGGCCACTTGGTCCAGTGACAACTGCAAGCCACGCAGGCTGACGAAACATCGTTTTAAAGGAAGATAAAGTGACACAGCTTGCATATGCCCCTGAGACACAGACCTGCTTTTGAAGTGTGAAGGATCACTAAGGAAGTATCAGACACACCAGAGCTGCCGAAACCAATGTTCTTTTCTCAGCACATCACAGCGGCCGCTGCTGCCTCCTTCCCTGTCTATCCTCAGGCTACATGGATGGGCCAGCAACCCACCCCCGTAGAGCAGGGCAGGGCGAGAGGGCCTGAACACAGCTTCCGGGGGCATGGCAGCATTACCCAGTCCAGCCTGGGGAAGCCTCTTGTAGAGTGGAGACCAGGGGCACCTGGGTGGCTCAGTCAATCAAGTGTCCAACTCTTAATTTTGGCTCAGGTCATGATCTCAGGGTTTTGGGGTCAAGCCCCGTGTTGGGCTCTGTGCTGAGTGTGGAACCCACTTAAGATTCTCTCTCCCTCTATGCCTCTCTCCAACTCTCACTTGCTTGTTCTCTTTCTAAAAAATAAATAAATAGATAAATAGAGAGTTGAGATCACTGTTCGTCAGGGCATGTCCAGGACCCTGGTAACTGGGACTTCCACGGGGTTCAGGGTCTTCAAGAACAGCCACATGACCTAAAAGTATTGTGAGAACAGAATCCTAGAGAAGCTCCAGTCCCTACCTGAGCCAATACCATCCAGATCCCTGTCCTGGATCTGCTGGATTGGGCCCGTGCTGGTTCCCCATCAGCCCTGGAACTATTCCACCTGCCCCCTACCTCCCTTTGACTAATTCTGCTGTGAGAGCTGACCCCCCATATGAGTCGGGTCCTTGCTCAGCCTTGAGAAGAAGGTGATTGGCTGGATGTGCCAGGGCTTTGTGACCCGCGGGCAGGGCTCCTCCAGGCCCTCAGAACCCTTCACGCCTGCCTGCACATATTGCCTCCATGCAACCCCGGAAAAACCTGGATGTGTGACCCAAGGGGACAAGGGGTAGCAATTTTGCAGATTTTCCGGACAGGTGACTTCAGCACCCCCCGGGCCTGGGCAGGAAGGGTTAACCCAATGACAATGGGCATAGCCCCACGTCAGGAGCGGGAAACGTTTTGGCAGACTCCTCAAAGTTGTCCTCTGATCCGCCAGCATCTCTTCCAGTCCTCCTGGCCGGTAGGATGACATCTACAAAATGGAATATATGGGAAACCTGGAGTTGGGGAGGGATTGTGGTCAGAGGCCCAGCTTCAGGAAGCCCAGACGGCTGTCCCCAGGCAGAGAGGGCAGACCTCTGTAGTCTCTTTCCCTCCTGGACTGGCCTTCCTTGGTCTTGGAGATCTGAAGCTGGATATGTGTTGAGCACATGCTTCTCAAAGAAGTGCCCTTGGGTTCTCACTGTCTGCCCCAGTACTGCTGACAAACACTTACTGAAAATGTACTGTGTGCTACGCTCTGCTCAGCATTGTATATGTGGTTCATCTGATCCTCATAAAAGCTCGATGAAGTGGGGACTGTCCCCATTTGATAGATGAGGAAACTGAGGCCCAAAGCCAAACTGCTAGGAAATGTGAGAGCCAGGATTTGAACCCAAGTGTTCTGACTGGAGATCAGTATTCTTAACACAGCACCTTTTTGGAGGCTGCTGTAGGCATGCCCAACACCCACGACAGGACTGAAAGACCTGGTGTGTCTTTCATAACCATGCTGGACAGAAGGTAGAGTCCTGGCAACTGCAGGGGCTTCTTCTAAGGACCAAGGAACTGGGGGTGGATTTCCCTGAATTGTCTTCAAGACGCATTTGTAGAAGATAGATTTCCACTGACAACCTGAAAACAAAAAGCCAAAATCAGATTTAGGCTAGTGAGCTTTCAGAGTTCTATAGATTTATTTATGACTTAGGAATATAAATGCTTAGAGCTAATGTAGTCCTAGGTCTCTGGGAAGGAACTGGATGGTTTCTAGAAACTCTTCTGACCATGGATGTTGAGATGTAGTCATTTTCAAGTCATTAGGCTACAGAATGACCAGCGGTTCTGCATCTCCGGATGGGCTACCTTTCCCATCTCTGGTAAATGCACCCTGAACCTTACAGTCCTAGCACAGGAAATGATTTCGCAAAATCACCAGCTTAAACCTCCTGAACTTGTCTTTCCCATGACTCCAGACCTGTAGCAGGAGCCATGGCTCTGAAGAGCAGGCTTTTCCCAAGGCCTCATTTTCAGTCTGGTCCTAGAATGCAGTTTACAGCTGGCTCGGAGGGTGACCTACCACAACCCAGTCAGGGGCCGTTTCTCCTGATAGTCACCATGTGCCACAGATGGTGGTAGAAACACAGGGACAGGGAAGACCTCACTGTGGTAGCTTTTGAAACAGAGCCTGACCCCTTGTGCCGTTGGCTCCTGTTCTCTCAGAAGAGATAAAGCAGCTCTTGGTAACAGGTGTGTTAACGTGGAGTTTTCTCAGACTGTTTCTCTGCTTTTTTTTAATGTTTTATTTATTTATTTCTTAGAGAGAGAGAGAGAGAGAGAGAGAGCATGAGCAGGGGAAGGTCAGAGAGAGAGGGAGATACAGAATCTGAAACAGGCTCCAGACTCTGAGCTGGCAGTCAGCACAGAGCCCAACATGGGGCTCAAACCCACGGACCATGAGATCATGACCTGAGCTGAAGTTGGATGCTTAACCAATTGAGCCACCCAGGCGCCCCTCTCTGCTTTAAGTGGAGGTGATTGGACCACAAAAGGCGAGATGCTTGGATAAATGCTTCATATATCTTTGCCCCCAGAAGCTGATCTGGTTTGAGTCTAGGTCTGAGTTAATACCCAATACAAAAAGTCATCAGAAGAGGGACCAATTGATGAGTTTAATGTGATTTGTGGCTTTGAGGAATAGAGAGGTTGATGTTCAGTCCAGAATGTGAGACCCAATGTTCCAGGCCATTCCAGCTGGTCCAGCTCTTAGGGGACGCCAGGGCCAGGAATAAGCACTCCATTCCACACCCCGTGTCCTGACACCATGAGCTTTTGACAGAACCAGGCTTTTTCTTTGAGGGACCAGATCAAAGTTAGGGGCTCTCTTTTTCTAAATTGAGCTAGGGAGAGGAGGATTTGGGGATGGGGGAAATGTTTAAGGAGGCTTTGCTTGGGACTTGGGTGCCACCTGCTGGCCGTAACTTAGTTGTATTTGCGGTGCCAACTCTAGGAAAGGAAAATGAAATCCTGCCCTCCCTATCAGGATGGGGGATAAGGGAACTAGGAAGCTGTTTCTTTGGGACCCTCTAGCAAGTATGACAGAAAATCCTTGCAGAGACCCCTGGGTACCTTAGATGAGTCCCCTTGAGCTAAAATGGACCTTGACCAAGGCAGAGAGTAGCCAGTCCTGAGTGGAAATAATGGCTCTGTTCCTAGTATCAGCCTCCCACCTACACTCACCCCACTCTCCCACCGCCCCCCACCCTCTTTCCCAAAATCCCCACAGGAGGTAACAACATGATTGTTAGCCCTGAAAGGGGATACGTTTTCAACTTCCTTCTTGCAGGCCCTGTTGCCATTCTGGGGACCCTAGATTGAGGCTGATCAAAGGAGAATGCCCTCCCATCATCAGGCACAGCCAGAACTGAGAATTTCTGGCCAAGCTGAGAAGACTTTGGCATTTTTCAAGTACCTGTGTAGCTCTTGGTGACTCTTGGCACCCTGATAGCAAGGTCTCTAGTTGTATTCTGTAAGGAAAACTAGACATTTCACCCATGTATCAAGGAGGAAGATGGCTAACACTTTCCCCCCTGGGAGGTGGCAACACTTCCCACCATCCCAGGCTATGCCACTGCAGTGTGAGCGAGTCAGTCCCGGCCAAGCCCCCATGTCAGATGAGGATCAGAATCACCTGGAGGGGGTGTGTGTGTGTGTGCGCGTGCGCGTGCGTGTGCGCACGTGCATAATACATATGTGATATTTGTGTGTATATATGTATGTGTATGTAACTATATACAGGTGACTCTTAAACAATACAGGTTTGAACTGTACAGGTCCTCATATGTAGTTTTTTTTCGATACATACGGTGGGCTACTGTAAATGTATTTTCTTTTCTTCGTGATTTTAATAGCATTTTCTTTTCTCAAGCTTTATTGTAAGAATACAGTATATAAAACATATATGAAATATGTGTTGATCAACTGTTTATGTTATCAGTAAGGCTTTTGGTCAACAGTAGACTATTAATAGTTAAGTTTTTGAGGGAATCAAAAACTTACATACAGATTTTTCAACTGTGGACGGGGATCAGGGCCCCTAACCCCTGTATTGTTCAAGGGTCAACTATGCATATACACTACATGTTATACGTTATATATAAATATATCTTAATAAATGTTATGTGTAGTATATTATATATAGTTATATACATAATATATATAGTACAGTTATGTATAATACATATATAGTTATACACACAGACAGACACACAAACACACACATACTTGCACTTGGCAAGCATACATGCACTTGGGCTTCACTCACTAGAAAGTCGAAGGAGAATCCAATGTACTCTTCTAGTAAAGAATGTGAACCATCACCTGTTCAGTCCTGTGGAACCCAAAGAATGGTGGAAGACTCTTGAATTAGTCCTGGAGGACTAATTCTGACCTGGACCAACACCTCTGCTTGTATTCAATAATCAGTCCTTGAAATGCATACACTAAACAGAAAAAAAAAAAGAATCCCTAGAGTGGCTCGGGAATTCCCAGGGCCGGCCTAAGACACTGACCCCCCACAATCCATGATCTCCTAGAAACAGCCCTGACCAGCCTAGATCCCCTGAGGCCTACAGAATGCAGAACCCCGCCCCCCCTTCCCACCCCCTTCCACCACCCTGCCTCTGGGGCCTGGCGGAGAAATCATTCCCTTAGCTCCAGCTAGTGGAAGGCCAGTACCCACAACAGCCTATGCCCTCTGCGCTCAGCTCAGGCAGGCCTCTGCAGCCCCCTCTGGAGGCCTGGCAGGGTCTAACCACTCATATGAGGCCATTCAAGCCCATCTCTTTCTAACTCTGCCTGCTCTCTCCTGCCTGACTTCCTGTCCACCTACTGTTTTCACTGCTCTTTGGGCCTTTCCTTATACTACTCTCCTGTGAGTTTTCCCAGTAAGACTATAAACTCCCCAAGGTAAGGGGCAAATCTTTTCTATTCCTCACAATCCCTAACTATCTAGTCCTCAAAATAAAATGCACTTTCCTCGATCCTATCCTTTCTGCCTCTTTGTCAAGTTTGGTGTCCATCCATTCCCACTAGCTTACTGATGTTAGGTGAGTTTCCTAGGAACCCAGAAACACTCTCCTAAATCCATTCTCTGCAGTGATTGTTCATGGAGAATGGTCTGGAACCCACAAGTGAATGAAACATAGCCTGGCCATTGAGGAACTTACATTTAGGTGGAAGGGACAGACATAAGTGATTTCAAGAGAATTGACAAATGCTGTGATTGGGCATGTTCAGGGTGCTATAGAAACAGAGAGGGGCAGGGGCGCCTGGGTGGCTCAGTCAGTTGAGCGTCCAACTTTGGCTCAGTTCACGATCTCACAGTTCATGGGTTCAAGCCCCGCGTTGGGCTCTGTGCTGACAGCTAGCTCAGAGCCTGGAGCCTGCTTCGGATTCTGTGTCTCCTTCTCTCTCTGACCCTCCCCTGCTCATGCTGTCATCTCTCTCAGAAATGAATAAAACATTTAAAATTTAAAAAAAAAAAAGAAAGAAAGAAACAGAGAGGGGCAGGGCAGGGGTTCAGAGACAATGTCCTGGAGGAGCTGATGCCCAAGCTGAGTCCTAAAGGTTGAATGGAGGGAGGGGGTCCAGGCCAGAAGGTGATGAAAGATGATTCACAAAGAGGAGAGGCCATGAGGAGGTATCACTCAGTCATTCAACAATTTTGCTGAATACCTTGCCTGCGACTGGCCTGGAAACCGCAATCTTGGCTTTAAGACCTTTACTGACAAGGGGGGCAGGCATTTAAACAAGTCCTGTGGTTAGAGCAAGGGTCAGAATACAGGGCACTGGGCTCAAAACCACTGTGTAAAAGGAGACTCAAGTGCAGTCAAAATTACCTTCGGAAATCTCTGGAATTCCCAGCTCCTGAGTCCTTAGGAGCTCCCAAGACAATACAATAATTTTTGTTTCTGTTGGCTTTTTGCCCCGCCGGACCTCCCTTTCCCAGGGCAACAAAGGGCAAAACAAGAGGGTTTCTCTAGATGTTTCTCAAAAATGCCACTGAAGTTAAATGTACATCTAGCAAAGTTCCATTATGTATACTTGGGGTGGGGGTCGTGAGGGAGCACAGCCCAATGGTTGCCAACGTAGCCTCCTCTCTAAGCGGCTTCTCCAGTCTGTGCCTGCAGACCCTCTGCAGGGGGGGAAAGGGAAGTGGTCTGGGCATATTTCTCCTTCGTAGAGACACTTTATGTATTACACCTAGAGAAATATTCTTCAGTCCAAGATAAGCACTCTCACAGTTCTCAAAATATGCTGTCCTTTCATCTATCTTCTGTTTCTTCACTTCTGATAAAGACCTAGTTACAGGTTATACTGCCCGATTAACTGTGCAGGTCCGTGATAAACAGCGGCTGACACTCGGCTGACTGCGTCTAGGGGAAGGGGAAGGAGGAGCTCATGCCCACTGGCCAGACGGGGGCGCCTCTGCCCAGCTCCAGCCATTGGTTGCTGTGCAGCTACAAAGACCCAGGGCTGCCAAAAGCCAGAAATCTCAAGTCGTTTGTGTGAAACATCCCAATGTTCAAATATTGAGCACTAATTCAAACGTGCTTCCAACCCTGTGAATGCTGAACAGCTCAATCTATAAGGCAAATTCAGCCAACGGGTGTCTCATTCATGACTGCTATGGAGCGTGGTGTGGTTTGGGCTACTTTTAAAGAGTCTGATGGCAGCAGTGTCAGGGATGTGCAAGGAGAAAGAATGGAGGCTGGAGGGACTTTAGGAGACCACTGGCGACCTTGGCCAGAGAGAGTGCATGCGTAGCCAGCCCCCAAGCAGCAGGAGAGGTAGGCAGAGCAGGGCACACTGACCCGGGCAGACGGCAGACGCAGGACTTGACGAATGATTGGATATGAGGATGAGGGGGTGTAGGCTATATAGGCTAACCCCAGGTTTCTAATGTGCGTGATTGGGTGACTGGTGGTGACAGTTGCTGGGATAATGAGTATAACAGGACAGGCACGTACTGAGGGGAGGTTCTAGACAGGCAGAGCTCAGGTGCTTGTGGGTCAGCCAGCAGGCCATGGGCCACAGAAATATGGGATTTCAAGTCAAAGGAGAGGCAAAGGGTGGTCAGCTTTCTAAAACACAAATCTGGTCGGGTGACTGCCAGCTCAAAATCCTCTAATGGCTTTCCGTTGTCTGAACAGAAAGTCCAGACTCCTCCTCATGGAAAACAAAGCCCTTTGCAGTCCGTCCCTGCCAACCTAACTGTACCACACCCCAACACAAAAACCTGCTCCCCAGGCCTGCCGAACAACCCGGAGTCCCAGAATAAGCCATGCCTTTGTTCTTGCTACTCCTTGGGCCTGCCGTACCCTTCCACCCCATCCCTTTGCATGGTTGGAAAATTCCTAGTTCTTTCAGATTCCAGCATCTCTGCTCCGAAGCCGTCGCTGACCTTGTCAAGCAGCAGAGATCACTCCCACCTCTGTGTCGGCTCTAACTTTGTATGTGCTGCTTTCACTGCCTTGAGACTCCCTTCCGTGGGGGTTTGCCTATCTGTAAACTCCTTGAAGGCAGAGACCACATCTTACTTATCACCTGTTTCTTAGCACACGTCTGGCATATAGCAGACCCTTGTTAACTGCCTGAAGAGGGAAATGCCTGATGGATTTTCTGGGAGGGGAAAACCCCAAGGCTGGTCTGGAGGAAGATGCTTTTCACTTCCCCAGATGCCGTCCAGCTCCTTCTCTCCTTACAATTAAAGAAGAGCACGAAGCCCCTGGTGCTGACCTCACTTGTCTTCTCCCTTTGCAGCTGGGGTATGGCCGTCAATGTGTACTCCACATCCGTGACCAGTGAAAATCTGAGTCGCCATGATATGCTTGCATGGGTCAATGACTCCCTGCACCTCAACTATACCAAGATAGAACAGCTCTGTTCAGGTAGGAGCCTGGGTGTGGGGAGAGCGAGCCCTGCTGGAGGGAAGGGAAGGGAAAGTGGGAGGCAGAAAGGCCACAGCAGAGAATGTAGTTTGTAATTAGGGTTAAGGAGGAGAGCAGCAGAGCCCTAAACTTGTCAAAGTGCTTGGAGGCGAAGGAAATGAGGGTCGTGGGGAATGGGAAGAGTCCCGAGGGGGGAGCAGGAGAGGCTCAGGAAAGGGCTGCAGGAGGCCAGGGGCTGTGGGGTACCGAGAGCTAGGACAGGCAGCGAAGCCAGCGGTTAATAGCATGAGGTCCAGTCAGGCTGCACTGGGCCCAAATCTCAGCTCTTCTTAGTGTTGTCTTGGGCAAATCACTAGGTCTCAGTCTTCCTATCCATAAAATGGAGAGAACATGCCCTACCAAACTAGGGTTGCTGTTAGGATTAAATGACACAGATGCAGCGTTTGGTATGGTGCTAGCACACAACCGCATCTATCGGTTGTAATCGCTTTTACTCTTGGAAAGCTGGGAGGATTCTGGACATGTCTATCCTATGCGTAGGACTGACCCTGCCAGGACCAGAAGAGAGGAGACGAGACTGGGTAGTTTGAGGGAGCAGCCCGGGCAGGGGAGCCGCCGGACCCCCTCAGGCAGCTGTGCTTCTCCCCAGGGGCAGCCTATTGCCAGTTCATGGACATGCTCTTCCCCGGCTGTGTGCACTTGAGGAAGGTGAAGTTCCAGGCCAAACTAGAGCACGAATACATCCACAACTTCAAGGTGCTGCAAGCAGCTTTCAAGAAGATGGGTGTTGACAAAGTAGGTTCCTGCGCTCCCGGGGGCCCCGAGGAGCTGTGTGACCCTGGGGAAGAAGATGACCTGCCAGCCGGGGCAGCAGAGGCTGCTGGGGTCATTCCAGCTCTCACGCCTCTCTCCACCCTCCCCTACTCTCCAGAGGGAATGTCCCCCCAGCTCCAGGCATGGTGGAAACCCCACACTTGACATCCCGTCCTGACGACATTCCTACCCTTTCCTTCTCTCTCCCTGTGCGTCTCAGCAGCTGAGGCTCAGTGTACCGCTCCAATTAAGGTCCTTCTCTGTGGGGCCTAACAAAAGTCTCTTGGCTCACTCTCTTGCCTCCGTGGCCCCCAGCCTCTGGCTCCTGCAGCCCCCACCCCACACACATACAGCAGCACCAGGGGCCGTGGCCGGCTCCTCCCATGCCTGGAGGAGAGGGCTGTCTCTGGATCCCAGGCCCAGGCCGCAGCGTGGCGGCTCCGGTGCCGCGGGAGCCCCCCCCCCAAAGGTGGAAGACGGCTACCGCCCAGGAGCTGGCTTTCCTGAGAGCGCTGGACCCTCTCACAGAGGAAGGCAGCCCTGCGGCAGCAGGTGGCTAAAGTTCTCTGCTTGTGTGGTCTATTTCAGATAATTCCTGTAGAGAAATTAGTGAAAGGAAAATTCCAAGATAATTTTGAGTTTATTCAGTGGTTTAAGAAATTCTTTGACGCAAACTATGACGGAAAGGATTACAACCCTCTGCTGGCGCGGCAGGGCCAGGACGTAGCGCCACCTCCTAACCCAGGTGATCAGATCTTCAACAAATCCAAGAAACTCATTGGCACAGCAGGTAACGTGCCCGAGCTGGGGGAGGGAGTGTGGGGGGCCGGGCCGGCAGGGCTCCGCAGCCACGAGCGCCCCCTGGCCACCGGCCCGGCCCTGCCAGCCTAGAGGAGACTGTTATCACGGAGTTCAGATGACGCCGCCTGCTGCCCGCCTAGACCAGGGGGAGTCACAGTAGGGAGGACAGGGCCGGAAAGATTGCTACACACGGAGAGCCACCGGCACCAGCCACCGGGGGCGGTGGTGGTGGGAGGCCCAGGGCACTTGCTTTGTGCCTTGAGATGACGGAGCAGCATGTGATGTGGTTCGTCTGTCCAGGTCCATCCACCACACACCCTCCGTGTCCCCTGCCCACTGGACGCCCAGGGATAGGACTTGGCCAAGCTTCCCCCACTGGGATTCGATCCCCTATCGCAAAGGCCCGTAGCCAGCCCTGAGTCCTCGAGGGATGAGCCTTTTGAAAGGAGGCTGTGCCTGGGTTCTGGAGGAGAAGGGAGAGAAGCAGTGGAGCCTTTGGGGAACAAGAGGACTGGGGAGAGGCAGAGAAAGGAGCAGCCCCAGCATCTGAACCCGTCATAGCAGAGCCGCTCCTCCCGTCTGCGCTGCTGCCCCGCCTGGGCCTGCCCCCCCGCGCCCCCCCCCCCACCTGCTTGCTTTGTGTTAGAAGCAGCCAGCTCTGCGTAGGGAGCGGCCACAGCGAGAGAAGACAAGTGGCCACAGCATGCCGGGCTTGCGGGGGAGGAGCCGGGTCCCTGAGGCAGGCCCAGCACACAGCACGGAGCCCATCCAGAGGCAGGGATGCCGGGAGGGGCAGGGGCCCTGAGACTGAGTTCACCCTCCGGGAGGGTGGGGCTTCTGTCAGGAAAGACCCAGCAAGTGCCAGATTTGAGACCCTGCACCAGCTGCCTTTCCTCAGCCTCTGGGTGATGGTACAAGGGGGCCCAACCCTCGCAGCTTCCCAAAATCGGCCTTCCCGGTCCCCCTCACCTCTCCCGCAGGCCAGCTCTCCTCCACCCCCACCCCTCATACCTTCTTTGCTTCCCTGCAGTCCCTGCTCTCCCAGGCTTGCCAGAGAGCTGCCGGGCTGCTGTGGTGTCAGTGTGGCCATGGCTTGAGGCCTAGATGTAGATGGCCCTCCTGAGTGGGAGAGGAGGGGAGCGGAGGGGAGGGCAAGAGTGCCTGCCTTTCGCATGGGCCTGTCCCCGCAGTCGTCACAACAGGCTGTCTCAGGCCACGCGAGCTGAGGGCTCACATGGCCCCCATCCAACCTTTCTCCTCTGGGCAGTTCCACAGAGGACGTCCCCCACAGGCCCCAAAAATATGCAGACCTCTGGCCGGCTGAGCAATGTGGCCCCTCCCTGCATCCTCCGGAAGAATCCCCCGTCAGCCCGGAATGGCGGCCATGAGACTGATGCCCAGATTCTTGAACTCAATCAGCAGGTGAGCAGGGCGGCCGAGGGTCACTGAGAGAGCCCTCAACGAAAGGCAGGACCTTGGGATGTCGGGGTGGGAAGGGGAGTCCGGGGCAGGGACCTCCGGCCTGAACACCACCTTGTCCCCAAACAGCTATTGGATTTGAAGCTGACGGTGGATGGGCTGGAGAAGGAGCGCGACTTCTACTTCAGCAAACTTCGAGACATCGAGCTCATCTGCCAGGAACATGAAAGTGAGAACAGCCCTGTTATCTCGGGCATCATAGGCATTCTCTATGCCACTGAGGTGAGCTCTGCCTTCACCCCCTCGGGTCCCAGGCCCACTGGGCCCTCCCCATGCTGCGTCTCCCCGCCTGCTCCCTGCTACCAGGGGTAGCCTCCCAGGGGCCTGGGGGAACGGGGTGAGGGGAGCCCGCTGAAGTCAGAGCCCAGAGTCACGTAAAGATCAGCAGGGGAGGTGGGACTAGCTCCCAGTGGACGGCTCCCCCTCTGCCTGGCCTCCCCGGCTCACCACCTCCCTCTCCCTTCCCGCCCTCCAGGAAGGATTTGCACCCCCCGAGGACGATGAGATTGAGGAACACCAACAGGAAGACCAAGACGAGTACTGAGGGCGGCTCCAGCCCTGGCTGACTGCTCGGCTGCCCGTGCCTCCCCATCCTGCTCCTGCCCCACATTATAATCCTTTCCTTACAGCTGGTCGGCCGGGTGCTTTGTGTCAGTGCCACAGCGCTGGGGAGGCAGGCGGGCAGCCAGGCTTGTGGGCACGGGGCAGGTGAGCCGGCAGAGGCCCGGCGGGCGGTGGGCGACGCCTCTGTCCACTCCTCCACCCTATTTATTTCCGTTGTCTCTACGCTGTGTCGGCCAACACTTCCCAGGGCGCCGCCGCCTCCCGCCCCAGCCAGCCGCCCGCCCCCCTGACAGCCAGCAGCCGTATATTTGACAAAGTCATTGGTATATTTTTACTTACTGGATTCTCCTTGCACTTTACCTGTTCTTTTCCCAGGGCTGACAGCACGGGGCTCCGGGGCAGTGCGCCTGGCTTGGCTTCCCTACCGCATTGCTGGGAGCCTCTGCAGGACTCACCCATTCTTATTTATTTTGTCTTTTGACTTCCCAGTAGTTGAGGGGAAGGCTGATGTCGGGAGAGGGATGAGGGGACTGGAGGGGGGAGGGGGTGCCTGAGGCCCGGTGGTCAGGGAGAGGGAGGGGGAGCATGTGAGGGATGACAATGACCTCCTGGCACCAGGCTCACCCACCCTCGGCCCCCTGCCCCCAGCACCGAAGCACCCCAGCACTGCCCCCAGGCCCCCAGCCACTCCTTCTACAGCTTGGTTCATACCACACAGGCTCTGCCTGGACCTTCCTGTACGTCTGCCTCCCATCCGCCCCTCCTCCCCGACCTCTGCCCGCTCGGGCCACCCAGCCTGCATATGTGTTCACTTTTATTTAAATAAACTCGTGTGGTAAAAGTCCATGCCCTGTCTCCCTCAAATGAGCCACGGCCTGGGTCTCGCTGCTCCCCTCCTCCCAAGCACTCCCCTCTCAGAGGTGATGGCCATGAAGCACTGCACCACTGCCGTCCTCTGTCATGCCTAGAAACTGCCAGTGGCACTTGGCCTCAGAGGCCAGCTCTGACCCGGTCCCCACCCCACAACCCTGGTGCCAGGGCTCTAGGGTAGGAAGACACAGAAGCCCCAAGCCCCCAGTCCCTGTGAAGGAACAAAGTTTGGGACCATGGCTATGACCGTGGGCCACCCAGTAAAGTGGCTGGGAGTGGGGGCAGTAACAGAGTGGCCTGGCCGAGGGGGGCTTTGTTTCAGTCTTCTTTGGGCCAGTCAGGCCACAGATTGTTACATACCTCACCACTGTAATCCAGCTGGGGACAAGGCATCATGTGACAGAGAGAGCTGAGTGGGTTCTGAAGAGCAAGCAGCCCCGAGTGTTGAGGCCTAGGACAGCAGTGTCCCAGCGGCTCCTCCTTAGAACAAGCTCTAAGGAACTAGGAGTCAGGAGGGCTCACATCACCCACACAGCCCTGCATTCCTGGGGTATGCCCGGCAAAGGGCCATTGTAACCACATCCCAGAAGCCCAACAGGGATCCAGGCCCTGAAATGAATGGGAGAACCAGACCCATTCAGACAAAGTCATCTCATTTACTGATGAAGGGACCAAGGCCTGCTTCTGACATGACTTGCTTAAGGTGGTAGAAATCTGGATTAGACTTCAGACCTCCTGACTCATGATTCAGCACTCATCCCCAAAGACCACGGAGGTGTGACCTCCAGAATGTTCCTTAGCTGCAGGCTAGTAGTCCTTGTAGGTGTTTCCTCATCATCCTGAATATGATCAAATTGGGGTTGTTTCTCCTGTGACCCTGCTCCATGAGCCTCCGCCAGGCCACTACCATTTCTCTAATGACTCCAGACAGAAGCCTTTAAAGAAGCAGTTAGTTCCTGTTCATTCCTCATTCATGTCACCTCTTAAGCCCACACCCTCATAGATACTTCTAGCCCTATTCTACTTCTGTTGTTCTCCTCCAAGTTCCCTGCCTGCTTTTATTGATTTTCATGATTTTTAATTCCCTTGCCTAATTTCAAAGGGCTTCCCCTTCATTATTCCAGGTAAATATCATAAAATGTTAAAGTAAGGGCGCCTGGGTGGCTCAGTTGGTTAAGCATCTGACTTCAGTTCAGGTCATGATATTGCAGTTTGTGAGTTTGAGCCCCACGTCAGGCTCTGTGCTGACAGCTCAGAGCCTGGAGCCTGCTTCAGATTCTGTGTCTCCCTCTCTCTCTACCCCTTTCTCTCTCTCTCTCTCTCTCTCTCTCTCTCACTCTCTCTCTCTCTCAAAAATAAATAAAGATTAAAAAATAAATAAACATTAAAAAAAAAAAGAGGTTAAAGTAATTGTTCTGTGTGGCCCTAATCTGTGAGCCAAAACCTCACCCTGCCAGCAAAGTGGGTGTGGTAGGCAAAACAATGCCTCCTCCCTAAAGGTATCCATGTCATAATTCTCCAAACTTGGAATATGTTAGGTTATATAACAAAGGAGAATTAAAGTTGCAAGTAGAATTAAGTCACTAATCAGTTGACCTTGAAATAAGGAAAGTACTGTGGGTTATCCAGGTGGGCCCAGTGTAATCACGGGGTCCATAAAAGTGGAAGCGGAGCAGAGGAGGAGTGATACCCTGTAAGAAGGACTCAGTCTGCTGGCTCTGAAGATGGAAGGGACCTGAGCAAAGAAACTCAGGCAGCTTCTAGATGCTGGGAAAGGCGAAAAAACAGATACTCCCATAGAAACCTCCAGAATGGGTCACTGTCCTGCAGACCCCATATTTTAGCCCACTGAGATCCTTCCAGACTCTCGCCCTCTAGAACTGTAAGATAATAAATGTGTTGTTTTAACCCACTAAGTTTATGGCAAGTTTGTTACAGCGGCAATAGAAATCTAACGTAGGAAGTCACACTGTGCTTCCATGAGCTCACCTTCTTGCCTCCACGCCAGACACCCACCTGTCCTCCTTGACCCCACATCTTTTGATTCTTCCCTCAAACCCCATGCGGGTACTTGCCCAAGATCACTCCATGCCCAGTGTCTGAGGCTGCTCTCGGAACACCCAGGTTCAAGTCTATAAAGCCCCTGCCTCCTCCTCCATCTCTTCCCAGTACTCTCATCATACTAAGTCTCTTTCTCATGGAACACTTAAGATGGTGAACTGTAATTTTCTGCTTACACAGTCGTCTCACACAGGCCTCGATTTCCTCACAGGCAAGTGAAGTGAACCTTCCAGCTCCACCTGGCACAGTGCCAGGTGCTTAGGTAGAGAAGGTGCTTAGGAAGAGCTGCCTGGTAAGTAAGTGAATGACTTCGAACGCCTGGATGCCAAGGTACAACCAATGACCTGCCAGACCACCCCATGGAAAGGTGGAAAAGAAAGGCCCTCCCATCCTTTGAAAGATCTCCACCATGGAGCAGACCCTACAGAAAGCTCGTTCTGTTTCTCTTCAGAAAAGAGCATGTCTTCTGTGACCAGCCATGTGACACAAAAGGGGTTGAGCAAAGGAGATATTGTTGTGAGACTGAGTAGAACTAAACCAATGATCTGAAAAAAAAAAAAAATGAATTGATGAATGAGCAGCTCAGTTACGGTCCTTGGCCAAAGTACTCCATTTCAGAGGAAACTAAGGCAAGGTCAGCCACAGACAGGCCAGAAGGTGCTAGAGGACAGGCAAGAGGCAGCAAGAGCTGGTCATCTCCCCTGCCTCCCCCCCCCCCCGCCCCACCCTCTCCTTCACACAAACCCATTTATTTTTCTAAAACAGTAGATCATGCCACTTTCTCACTGGCTTCCCAGTCCAAATTTCTGGCAGACCATAGCATATGGGCTCAGATCCCTTTCCAACCTTCTTCACCTCCCAAATCTCATTAAGCACCATCACCCTGAACTATTTCCAGTTTCCCAGCTTTCCCCTGCGGTGCCCCACCTCTAGGCTTTCACTTAAAGCAATAAATCCATATGGCTGACCTGTTCTTTCTACCTGTCCTGATCTCCAACCAGTGAAAATTCTCCAAGTTCCCAGGACCCATCTCAAATGACACCTCTTTAAGGAAGATGTGTCTAATCTCCTTCCTAAGGGCCTCATCACTTCCCGAGCTGTTCATCCTGTAGGAATTTGGACTCCATCAGGTCTTACTATAAGGCCTCACCTGTCTTGTACCTCAGTATGGCAGGTATGAATCTCATCCTGAAATGTAGGAGTGTACATGAAATAGCACATTTCCTTAACTGTAACAAATTACTTTCATTTCTCCTACCCTCATCCTCCCCTACTGGGATGCTTTAAATTTTGAGGTTTCACGTGATACTACAAGCATGGTGGAAGGCCCTCCAGGGACAGAAAAGTCAGCAGTAACCTGTTTGAGTGGTTCCTCAGGTCTGGAGCTCTTGATTACCCCCGGCCACATCTGGGACTTCAGACTGACTCTTGCACTAGGGGTCAGAGCCATTCTTTCCTATTCCCGGTACGGGGAAACAGCTCTGGCTTTCCCAGAATCCCAGGCTTTTCTATCAGAAGGGGTCCCCACTCTCCATTTCCTGTCCTCCAACACTGTCCCTACCCTCAGGCTCCATCCTCTTCCCGTTCTTCCACAATAGATTTTTTTTATAGCCCAATAACTCAAAGTTTAAACACTAACAACAACAACAACAACAACAACAACAACAACAAAAAACTTAGCACTTTCCTAGAAGGAAGAAAGCATTTCATCTTCAAACTCCCCCCGAAGGTAAGGAGAACGTTCCATTCCATCTTTCTGGCACCACTAGAAAGCAAAGAAAACCCCAACTGGTTAAATGTCCAATGCAAATGGCCTTCATACAATAGATGCTTAATTAAAATTTTTCTGAATGCAATAGTCTCTCATCTCAACACCTTTGCGTGGATGGTTTTTTTGCTACAAAGGAGACCCCAGCCCCCAGCCCCGACCGTATACCTTCCTAGGGATAACGCAGCGAAAACGAAAGACTACAAGTCCCAGGCTGCCTCGCGGTTGGCGTCACGCGCCGAGAGGCCCTGCGAGGAGACGTGGCAGAGCGCGGCGTGTCCGCGCCGGACCGGAAAGCCCAGGGAGGTGGCAGTGGCGGGAGGGTCGGAGCTATGGCAGCCAGGGCAGCGGGTGGGGGGCGCTGG